ACTTCATTATTGCCGATGAGATTAAGGCGGTCGCAGCGGAAGGGCGGAGGATCCAGCAGCAGATCGTGGCTCAGCAGAAGAAGGAGCTGACCAACTTCTTGGAGAGCCAGAAGAAGGAGTACAGGATTTGTAGAGACCAAATCAAAGATGTAAATGTCCACGTCAAATACTGCGTGTCTGTCTCTGTCACCGTCATCAAACGTTAACCCTTTCGTCTCCCGTCATTCCACCTGTGGTTGAAGGAGATGAACGAGGACCATTGCACACCCAAGGAGGAGAAGCAGGAGCGTCTGTCCAGGCACAAAGAAACAATGCAGCGCTCCCAGGCCGAGGAGGAGGCTCACCTGCTGGCCCAGCAGAGGCTGGTCTACGACCGCAGCTGCCGGGCCCTGAAACGCCGGAGCCTGGTCAGGAAGCACGAGTTTGAACAGGACCAACTCAGAGAGGTAGGACTGGGGTCTAGACGTAGGAGTAGGTCAAAGGTCAGGAGACAGACTGCAGTCTATGTTAATGAGAATATCAAACTCTTTTCCTCCACTTTAGTCTCAACTCTTCTACAAACACTGACTCTTTTCTCTTTGTTTTTGTTTAAAGACAAAAGTTCTTTTCTTTTCTTTCTTTTCAAACATTATTTCACTTTCACTGGAAGATGGAGGTGAACCAAAACCTGTAGCAAAAAAACAACAAAAAAAAAAAATCCAAGAGAAGTTCCAGTTGAAACCGGACGACCGTGTGGTCGAGAACACACACAGTTTAGGCTGAGTGTAAAACAAGCATCAAAACAAATGGAAATGCACGGGGAAATCCACGACTTCAAAAAGAAGTAAAGATCTTTCTTTTCACATCATCCACTCAGGTGAAAACACTTTTGATCAGTTCTCACCAGTTCACACCAATTCACACCAAACCACACCCCCACTTCTCTGTCTCATCTACACCAATTCACACCAGACCACACCCCCACTTCTCTGTCTCATCTAAGAACTGAAACCCAGGCGTTTCTACGCCTCATCGCAGGTGTAGTTCTACCTCCACAGGAGCGCCCCCTCCACGTCTTTCACCGTGGTCTGACATCACAACCTGTCACAGAGCTTCAGTCACTGAACACTTTCTCCTAAAGTTTGGTTAGAAATTCTGATGTTTTCTCACCAAAAGCAAACACAACCCAACACTTGACATATCAAGAAATCATGTTAAGATACCGCGACGGAACCAGTCGAAGGTTCCGAGGTACAGAACTTCTCTGAACCTTGGTTTTAATATATTTAAACGTCAGCTCTTTGCGACTCACCTTTGTTTTATTTCACACTCAGCCAGGGGTCTTTGAAAACTAACACGGGCGACAGGGTCTACTGATCTAATGACAACAAACATCTGGTTCCAGGAGCTGAACAAGAAGAGGACCCAGAAAGAGATGGAGCACGCCCTGATGATCCGTCACGACGAGTCCACTCAGGACCTGGAGCGCAGGCAGCTGCAGATTCTGCAGAAGCTGCGAAGTGAACTGATGCGGCTGCAGCACCAGACGGAGCTGGAGAACCAGGAGGAGTACAACAACAGGAGGCAGAGGGAGCTCCACCGGAAACACAGTCTGGAGAAACGGCAGCAGCCCAGGAACCTCAAGGTGCCTGGAGTTGGGTTTTTGACAAAGTAGTGGAAGGTCATTGAGAGAGATGATGTTCAGACTGCCCCCCCCGGGACGGTATCAGGAACTGCATGTGATTTAGACTTTACTTTTACTTGTATTCCTTTATGGCTAGAGATTTGTGGTTCCCCAGGAACTGCATGTGATTTAGACTTTGTGGTCCTTTATGGCTAGAGATTTGTGGTTCCCAAAATGGGGGGCAGAGAGTTATCGGCCCGGGACGATAATCAATAAATCCATAAATCGTACCATGAATGAAAACCAGTTTGATCGTTTAGACCAGTGTTTCCCAAACTGTTTTTCTGGGGACCCCTATATTAAAAGTCACAAAACTTTGCGACCCAAGTCAGTAGATGTTATTCGTAAACTCCTGGGAAACATGATGCAAGACGACCCAAAAACAAACTTTCTTGCGACCCACCTGAGGTTTGTTTCATAGTGACCCCTCGGTCATCCACGATTAGCGGGGGGAGGCGGGGCAACTAGAATACACACAGGGTGCAGTTACACAGATGATCCAGTATGATGAATTTGATCAAAACACAACAAACTAGCATCCCCCTCTAAAACAAGTACCAGTTCTCCTAACAAATCTCGAGATACAGAGAAATGTTTTTTAGAGATTATTCAGTTTTAACTCACTGTCAGACCATAACAGACCAACACGTGTTTGTGGTTGTAACTTTGGGCAGACACTGGAGATGCAGATCAAGAAACAGTTCCAGGACACTTGCAAGGTGCAGAACAAACAGTACAAAGCACTAAGGAACCATCAGCTGGAGGTTTCTCCCAAAGGCGACCACAAGAGCATCCTGAAAGGTCTGAAGGAGGAGCAGACGCGCAAACTGGCGGTGCTGGCGGAGCAGTACGAGCACAGCATCAACGAGCTGATGGCGTCGCAATCGGTACGTGGAGATCAAACGAAATGCACTCTTTGTTTTTGACCTTGACTTCTCACGGCGCCCCCTTGTGTCTTCAGATGAGACTGGAGGCCGAGCAGGAGACGGAGTGCGAGGCTCTGAAGCAGCAGCTGAAGCAGGAGATGGAGCTCCTGGACGCCTACCAGAGAAAAACCCAGTCACAGATGGAGGCCCAACACGAGCGGGAGCTGCAGAAACTCGAGCAGAAGGTCTCCATACGCAGAGCGCACCTTGAACAGAAGGTAGGTCCAAGACGGAGCGGACTCTGAGGGTCTTCGACCAAATGAAAGTCATCACCAAAACAAAGAGTTCCTGTGAGGGAGGGGCTTCACTTAGATGTTGATGAATTGTGACAGTTGTCTTGTCTGTAGCTCAAGATTTGTAGGGATCGTAAACGATTGTATTTACATCTCATGTTTTTCTTTTTTAGCAGTTTTTTGGTCAGATTTTTTTTCTCTATTTGTCAAAGTATCTTAAGTGTTTTTAAACACCCTTAAAGACAACAATTTTTGTTTAAACCGTTTAGACTTAAATGGAGGTTATGTCTAATTTTCTCCACTGGGGGGCACACTCCTGTGTCCTCCTAGAGTCTGTCCCAAGCATGGAAAAATGACTGAAGGTTGTGCTAAGACAATGATGCTGCTCTTTTGGTTTTTTTTTTCTTTGTCAAAAACATGTGCCTCTTGCACTAGCTAGCTACTTGCTAGCTTGAGGCGCAGAGCATCTTGTTAACACGAGCAAACCGCCAGATCTGCACAGATTATGACATCGTTATGCCGAAGTTGAAACACACCGACTGTCACACAAGTTGCGTTTTCTGAGGCCCCCCCTAGTGGCCTCCACTTTGTAAACCACCGCCCTATTTATTGTGCTGTATTTATTTATTTTTTTTAAGTTTTAGTGACTACATTCTGCGTTCTCAGCCGTACGTCCTGTTGTCGTTGGTTCGTAATCCGACAGGTTTCCACCTCATTCTTGTTCTTCGTCTTCGTGCGGCGTTATGCTAACGTCCCCACTCTCCCGTCTTCTCCTTTTCCTGTCAGATTGAAGAAGAGTTGTCGGCACTTCAGAAGGAACGCAGTGAAAAGATCAAGCACTTGTTGGAACGTCAGGACAGAGAAGTGAACGGCTTCGACACCGAGAGTCGAGGTCTGGGCTTCGGCAGCCTGGGGTCTCTGGACTTCCCCAAAGAAGACAACAGATGAAAGTGGACTGGCTTTTAGACTCCGTGTCCTTTTCACGTCCACTCGACCGTTTGCCACATCCACGGTGACCAATGCTGGATTACCTTCTCTATTGCTTTTCGTCTCTCTCTTAGATATCGCATCTTCGACTCCAGGTGTTCACGCGCAACGAGGACTTCTTTTTTGTGAAACTTGGGGGAAGTAAAAACAAAAGAACCAACAACTACAACAAGTGTCAATAAAAATCAAACCTAGTCAGTGTAACTCGGAAAAAAAAAAAAAAACTCAAAAAAACAAAAAAACAAAAACAACTTATGTGTTCAGAATAACAGACTCTTTTTCATCCATGCCATTTCCTCCTTTTGGTATGAAATGAGTAAAAATCAGGAAACTTTAGTATAATGGGCACTTTGATATGTTTAAGTAGAAAAACTCATCCTGTTCTTTTGATGCTACTGTACATGTGTGTGTGGAACACGGAGGGACATTGTGGAATGTGAGCAGGGGGGCTTCACCCCCCCCGGGGGACGGGCGGGGGCGGGGGGGGGGGCTGCTTTGTGTTTTTTTTTTTTAATTAATTAATTAATTAATTTTTTAAGAGTTCTTTTTCATTTCAGGTCAATTTACTTCATGCTCTGAATGTGAACTCGATTCTGTCCGGGGTCAGAGGTCAATGGACTCTAGAGTCACGCAAACGCAACTTCCAGAAAAGTTGGTACACGTTCTGACAGGGTCACAGGAACCGCAGAGACCGACCGCATCCTGTCGCTGTCTTCGTCTAAAACAGGAAGAAAACATTTTTTAAAAATGAAATTCAAGACATTCCAGAATTTGAGGAAAAAGAAGCTAGCTGCGTCACGGTGTCGGCTAGTTGTTCCTGCTTAAAGTGGGAATCCCCCGTTTGTTCTGCTCAACAGTCTGTGGTACTGTAATACTCAAGAAGTACTTACAAGTTTTAAAGCCACCGCAATGAAGGAAAGAATCAGAAAATACTTTTACGATATTAGACTGTATACAGAAATATATACAGCACGCTATATATTAATAGTTATATTTTTAACTGAAGAATCAGCACATTATATGATCATGACCCGACCTTTCATTAAACTTTATACTTTGTGAGACACAATATCTACACGAAAAAATACCACCAAATAAACTAAGTAAAACGATGACTTCCTATTGGCTGGAAATAACGAAAGAAGATTTTTTTTTAAAAGGCATAAAATGCAATTCAGCAGAAAGCTTTCGCGGTTTCTGCGACGACGTTTAAATTTAGAGGTTGAAATTTCTGTGGTAAAACGTTTTTAAAAACTGTCCGATCACCTTGGAGTACCCTCAAGGACAGAGTAGGGATCACAAACCGTCGGTTGAAGACCTGCGCTCCAAACATTTCCGAACAGTTGCACTCTACGTCACGTTTACTTCACTCGACTGTCGGGTTTCGGCCCAGAGAACTCGACGAGATTTTTGCACAAAATATATGTGAAGTTTCATATTTGCAGGATACAGATACAGGATGTTCCCTAAATACTCCCTAATGACCCCCATCTGGCTGTGTCTGGTACTGCAGCACAGTGGGGTTTTCATCCTGGAGCTCATGCACATTCAGCAGTGAGTTCTGCCTTTGCTGCCAAGATGGCGCCAGACCTTAATTCTTTGCCATTTTTTTGTCTTGAGTTGACAGATCGTTGCCTTTACTGGATGCTTTATACCATGTGACCTTTAACCTGGGCTGCATCTGCTGCGGTGTTAGACTGTGTCGCAGACGTGGGACTTTTAAATCAACTTCAAAACTTTTTCTCTGAATTAGTTTCCGGTGCGTGACGAAACACGAGTCGGCAGAAATTAGCCTTCACGTCACTGTTTAGAAGTGTACCAACTGGGGATATTTCGTAATATCGGCCAACCAATATTATCGGACGATATTAGCATGATTGCGATATATCGGTAACAGTCGGATTTTCCTCCGATAATGAAAATCCGATAACACAATGTTAAAAAAAACAGTTCTGAACCGAAAGTGAATTAATGTCATTGCGACGCGGCACAGTGCGCTGCCAACGGCTGCATATATCGGTATCGGTTGATATCGGAATGGGAAATTTTAGTGTTTGGACAACATCGTGATATCGGTTATCGGACATCCCCTAGTACCAACCTTTTCTGGAACCGTGGAGTTCGTAATTCCATGTTCACGCGTACAGCACACGGTGGTCCTTCACATCGGGCCGCGGTCGTTTATCGTTTATCAATTTATTTTTTAACAACGTCGGATCAATTGGCATCAGCTCGATCAACCCGTTTATCTCATCACAGTCTCAAAAATCCCACTTGGTAAAACTGCTTATTATTGCATGCACTTTAAGGACAAATTCAGGTTGTGAAGTGAAGCATGAATCTGTCAGAGATTTTAGCTGTTTGTATCCATCTTTAATATGACCATTTTCACAGATGCCATTATTTTAGGTTGTGCCTGACGCTGACTTACGTTGACGTGTTTCTGATCTATATTTCATTTTTCTACGGCTGGCACTTTGTTGTTTTTTTCTTTATTTTGTTTTTGTTTTGTGTTTCATCTACGGTTGTGAATCATTAAATGTTCACTAATCAAAGTTCTTGTAAAGGAAACTGGTGAGAATTGTGCTGTATAACTTTTGATATCAATATTTGTACATGAGAATATAGCTAGAAAACACAGGTCTATTACTGATAACAGAGCTTAACGATAAAGAAAAAAAAAGGTTTTTGCTTCTTTTTTTTGGTTTTTTAACATAAAGATATGGTCAAACAATAGCTCTAAACATATATATATATATATAAATATATATATATATTGATAAGTCACATGACTGGACTCTGAGATTGTATAAATGCTGGTGAATGGAACCACAGACTTCTTATACGTAACGTCATCTTTTACTGATCAATGGTTCTTAAACACACACACACACACACACACACAGACAAAAGTGAGAATCCAGAGATGTGTTTGAGTAACTAGAGTCAGATTGACGTATTTTTTGACATTGTCCATTACGGCCACTGAACAGGTTGCACAATGATTCCATTGAAAATGAATGGAAAAGCTAATTGTTTGGTGCTTAATTTCTAATACCACCTTTAGCCTTGTAGTTTTCTGTCTTAGGGTTGGACGACTGATTTTTACAAAATGTCAACATGAAGCATTTTGGAAAACTTCCCGAGTCAAAAACACTACTAAGTTTTTCATGGCGTATTTAGAGATCACCCCATACAGTGAAATCCTTAAAAAAATGAATTTAATGTATTAAAAAAAATAAATACTATTTTATCATTGGTCATTTTTTTTTTTTTTTTGAACCATTGTTTATTGTGGTCTTGAACGCAACCCTGTCACTGTTTGTGTCGCGGGTAATTTTGTGACCTGTTTTTGTTTCACAGGTGCGACGTTACAGATTCAACTTAAAATTACATTTCATTCAGTTCTGAGTGATGATTTCTGGGGATATAATATTATAAATCACAAAACTCCACGACTCAAGTCAATAGACATTATTCGTAAACTCCTGGGAAACATGATGCGAGACGACCCAAAAAAAAAAAAATCTCGCGACCCACCTGAGGGCCGCGACCCAATCTTTGGGAAACAATGATGTTGTGCTCATCCATTCATTCGAATGTATGGATTTCTGTCCTTACACTGAAACATGTTTATATGTTATTTTTGTTTGTTTGTTTGTTTGTTTTATTTTTTTAAAATACATTTAAAAAAAAACAAAAACGCGATTTCTTTAGGGTTTAATTGAGTCAAGTCTGTAACAGATTCTTCCACATATTTTATTTGTGACACTGAGGTTCAACCACAACATGACGCTCCACCTCAGATGTTACTAAACCAGAGTAATGTTGAGACTATGAACATATTTTCTTAATTTTTCTTTAGAGAAAAAATGTTAACATTTTTTTAAAATATGTTTTTTTTTATACAATACGAAACTTTGAAATTTGAACTGTTCTTTTCTTTTATTTTTCATCATCTTTTTTAGAAATTTGACATCACAGTTTCTCACTAAAAGCCTCGTCTCTGGTCACATCTATAAGTGAAGCCTGGTGGAGGGGGGCGGGGGGTAATTATGGGGGGGTTATGTACTTCACCAATTTGTGTGAAAACATTTTTACGTTACTAGAAGGATGTATTTATGTAGTTAGAATAAAAGGGGACTTTTCTGAACAACCGTGTTTACCGTTTCCCGTGAAGGTGAAAACTCCAAGTAAAATTCGAAATTCTGTTGAAAATTAAAACCAAAAAACAAATAAAAAAAACAAAAAACAAGAGCCTCAGTTAACATCCTGCATCTAACGAAGCAATTTTTTTCCTTTTTTTTTTGTTTTTTTTGTGTTTGCGGTTGCATTTCCTTGTAAGCCTCTGTTATGTGGTCTACAACTTCTCACTTTTACTTTGGTGAAAACGCGGCGGCCGCCGTGACCCACATCGTACCAGAGAAGTTCTCGTACACGGAGCGACCCAGAAAAGCACAAAGATAAACTTGTGAACCAGAAGTGAGAAGTTAAAGTTATCTAAGCATCTAATCTAAGCATCCACTCTGTTGGCGGCGGTCGACACATGCAGGAATCCAAGTGTTGTTTCCTTGAACTCTGGGCTTCTGCGCACGTGGAAAGCCCCGAGGTTAACCCTCACCTGAAGTAGTGCTGACTGGGCTGTGGTACGCTCAGTTTCCCTTTTCTCTTCTCATCTCTCAACAACAATAGTCTCTTCTCTGGAATCTAAACCCAGATGTGACATAACCCAGAAAACATGAAGATCACGTCAGTCACTCCCCTCAGCAGATTTTCATAAAGTCACAGCGCTGACTTATGGTCTACTACTCTGGCCTGGGAACGACCCAGTGATGCATTAGCAGAAGTGCGTACGCAGTTTTGACAACACAGAAGAAATTCCATATTTTAAATATTCCTTATTCTCCTTCCTTCTTGTTCTGGATCAGGACGATGTGCAACATCATCCTGCGTACATGTGAGCTCACTTCAGCAGAAAGTCAACCTTGTGGTGAGATGACATATTGCCTACTTCTGCTACAAGGCCACACCCACTTTACGCACATGTAAAAGTTTCTGATTGAGAAATGCATCCTGTGAACTCGCAGCTTCCTGTGCCACGGCCTCAGACAAACGAGCGTCGGCGGAGGAGTGCGTTTTACACCTTAAATAACAATAACAATTATTATATTTATTTATAATTATACTTATCATTATAAGTGTGAAATAAAGTAAGTTGTATTTTTGTGATACAAACGCAGTGCAATTTTAACACCTCTGTTTCAAAGATGGTAAAAAATGTCACCTTCAATAGTGACTGTGGAACAGTCTGTTCAAAACTTTCATTTTACAAGTAGAAAGAAAGATCTGTTCAAAACTTTAACTTTCATTTTACAAGTAGAAAGAAAGAAATCACTCCTTCCTTCCCCTGCTCTCTACTGCCTCCACAGGCAACTATATATAGCGGATAATCATCAGATAATTGGAAAAATG